GCGTCAACTAAGGGCATGTACCTCGGTTGGAGGTTCCTTCCTGGGCCTGGGCCCTTGTCGGAGCTCCTGCAGGTAGCAATCAATCAATGTGTTTCTCTCACATCAATGTTTCTCTCTGTCTTTCCCTCTCTCCCACACTCTCTAAATCAATGGAATAATATCCTCGGGTGAGGATTAAAAAGAATAATAATTTTTAAAAAAATAAAGTTCTCTAGGCGGGCTTTTTAGGCGGGGAATTCTCTGGGTGGTCCGGATCCTGGGCAAGTCCCAAAGGGAAAGTTACCGGCCTTGCCCTGGCGGGTTTGGCTCAGTGGTTAAAGTGTCGACCTGCGGACCAAAGGGTCATGGGTTTGATTCCCAGCCAAGGGCACATACTTCAGTTGCAGGTTCCGTCTGGTCCAGGTGTGAGCAGGAGGCAACCAATCAATGTGTCTCTCTCACATTGACTTCTCTCTCTCTTTCTCTTTCCCCTTCTCTTCTCACCCCCTCCACGCTCTCTAAAAAAATCAAGGGAAAAGATATGCTTGGGTGAGGATTAAAAAAAATAATAATAAATAATTTTTTTTAAAAAAAGAAAGTTACTGGTTTTAGCAAACGGAATGTGGTCTGAGTGAAAGGGAATGTCAGCTGCACTCTGATCTAAAGGTCAGTTTCCCAGGGGAGGGGCATCGATTCAGTTACTTGATCAGACCTAACAAGTAGATCCTTCCCATAGTGTGCTTGAGAGGAAGCTGGGTCTGTGGGTATTCAAAAGCATCCAACACAAGGACCTTCGCCAAACATTTCAAATCTCTGCATCATCCATTCGTCATCTGTGGTCTCTACTGGTGTCTTTTGCAGCTCAGAACTGTTCCTTCACGAGACATGATTCTGTAACATCAGCATCACCTCCGTCTGATTCAGCCTTGTAATCACCATTATCCACACCCTCTTAGAATTTCTTCAAATATGTGAGCGGCCTCCCCGGAGAGGTAGGATTTGAGAAAGCTCCCTGTTGGCCACCGGAAGCCCGGCCTGCCCCTCGATAGTGGGCACCAAAAATATTTTCCTGGCCCCAGGCCTGTGGCTCTTGGGACTGTCCTTGGACAATTGCTGCAAGGTCCTTGGAACTCAGTGCCTGTGTTTAGAAGAAGGTGCTACCCTCCCCACCTCAGGCACTTTTAGAGGCTGCCTCAGCCTTGCCGCATATCTGGAAGCTTCCACCACCCTGCCCGTTCCCACTCTCTGCCGTTCTAGTCCTCGAGACACTCGTAGATAGCCTAATGTTTTCTCCCCTGCCATTCCCCCCTTCGGCCTGGGTTCTTTCCATTCCAACCCCAACTTGGAGCACCCTCTGTTCCTTGTCCAACTCATTCTTCGTCATCCCCCACTCACAGCGCTCTGTAGCTCAAGAGCTCAAGGCAAAAGCTGCACGTCCTCCCTTCCCCTGTCTAGTCACTCAACTCCCTTGAGCTATATATAGCACAGCTGTGCCTTAGATTGTGTGGAGCTCCAAGTCCTAGTCTCCCCTTTTCCTCCCCCAACAGAATAGGGAGCCTGAAGCTTACAGGCAGGGTGGGGAAGCCCGACAGGAGGAGGCAGGGAGGAGCTGGAGAGGGACAGGAAAGGGTGTGCTGCATTGTGGACCATCCAGAACATGTGCCCTTCCCATCTGCTATCAGGGACTTGCCACTTCTCTCCCAGCCTGCTAGCCATTCCAGGCCACGTTCTCCTTCTAGAGAAGGAGCAGGCAGTGTGCTGGGGAATTCTAACCATCATCTTATTTAACCCTTACGATGATCCTATGGGTACCTACTATGTCCATTTACAGATGATACAGACTCACAGAAATTGAGTGGCAGAAGACCAAGTATTTAGAGCGGGGGTCCTCAAACTTTTTAAACAGGGGGCCAGTTCACTGTCCCTCAGACCGTTGGAGGGCCGGACTATAGTTAAAAAAAAAACTATGAACAAATTCCTATGCACACAGCGGCGGCAAAAACACCCAGCGGGCTGGATAAATGTTTTCGGCGGGCCGCATGTGGCCCGCGGGCCGTAGTTTGAGGACCCCTGATTTAGAGGTTGGTTGGTCAAGCAGCTAACTGACCCCACATCTAACTCCGGCCTACACTCTGGATCCCCTAAGTCTGTCGGCATCATTCATTTAAAGCCTTGTAAAATAGAATTTCTGTCGGTGTAACCTGATCTGGAAGGAAGAAGTTTACTAAGCAAATTACTAATGTAGAAATGCTGAAACCAAAATAATTATTAAAGACTTGGCATATTAACAAAAATGTTATCATAATTTTATCTTATCTGTGTACTAAAGCAGGATGCTCCAGAAATTTGTTCCTTAAAGATTTCTGTGTGTTCTCAGAAACTTTTGAAAATAAATTTTTTCTTCTATTTCAGGACTTCCCCTCCACTTTACAGTCATTCTCCTGTTAGTCCAGAGTAGTGAGATTTGATTTTAGGAATGGTGAGAAGTCTGGATCTTTTTCTCACTGTGATCTTGGGCAAGACATTTAACCCAAGCCTCAGTTTGTTCATCTGTGAAATGGGGGGAATAATAATAATAGTACTTTCTTCATAGTTATTGTAAGGATTAAGTAAAACAATCTACTTAATGCCATTAGCACACTTTTTGGTTCCTAGGTGCTCAGTAAATCATAGCAACTATTATTTTCTCAGTTCTGGGCTGGGATGCTATGGAGCATCAAATATGATCTCAACAGGGAGAAGTTGGACTTCACTCTCTAGAGCAGCGGTTTTCAACCTGTGGGTCGAGACCCCTTTGGGGGTCGAACGACCCTTTCACAGGGGTCACCTAAGACCATCGGAAAACACATATATAACTACATATTGTTTTTGTGATTAATCACTATGCTTTAATTATGTTCAATTTGTAACAATGAAATTGGGGGTGACCACATGAGGAACTGTATTAAAGGGTCGCGGCATTAGGAAGGTTGAGAACCACTGCTCTAGAGCTTAGTCCCTGTTCTCTAAAGGGCTAGGAGTTGATCTTGACTCTTGCCGTCTCATCCAGACATTTCCGCCCACCCTCCCCACCTCTGGACAGGATCCTCCTCCTCTTGAGAATTCAGGCCACGGTTGGGATCAGGAAAGGCAGCATGGAAGAGTGTGTGAATGACTGGGAGGAGAGTTCCCATGGACGCTGGGGACATGGGGAGGCCCAGGGGAGTTGCTGTGACCCTGGGTCTCTTCCTAGAGCAGTGAGTGCTGGGGAGAGAGAGAGAGACATCAGCTGCTGGACAGATTTCCAGTGCAGAACAGCCCCGTCAGGACAGACACATTGGGGCCGAGAGTAATCTTGGGAAGGAACAAAGGGATGAAGGGGGACTCTCCAAGTGTATCCCACATTTTCTCCATCTGCGTAGCCATAAGGTACTTTCCTTTTCCTAATCAAGGGTGGATGATCAATGAGCATTCCTAAGCTTCAGTATCAACCTGGTGAGGCTTTCAGCTTGGCCAGCCACTGGAAAGAAGAGTAACTGTCCAGGGATGCCCACTGGACAACAATAGGAGTACACATTTTGGAGCCAGCCAGACCTGGGTTCAGATCTCAGCACTGCCATTTCCTAGCTGTGTACCTTGGACAAGTCATTTAGCCTTGGGGAAGCCCAGTTCCCTGGTCTGTAAACAAACTGCTACTTACCATATAGTAGAGAGGTTTGAAACGTAAATACCTAGAACGGAGTAGGCACCAATGCTGATTTCTGTAACCCCCCAGGCAGTATAAAGAGTCTGGAGATGTGAGGGAAGTCCCAGTTGCTTCAAACTCCTGAACAAATCTCCTTGGTCTCCTTGGTCCAGAAAGCATCCTTGAAGGTATTGAAACCAAGACCCGAGAGCCTGCCTCCCACAATTGGAGCATAAATTTACTGTTCCTAAGAATATTTGAGGCCGTATAACTCAAGGAAGAACCCAGGAGCTCTCCCCATCCTTGCCTCTCTATTTCCATCTCTGTTCTCCATATCAAGTCCATCTCTGATCCGGCCACTTATGTCCGTGAGAACTAAAATATTTAACCTGGCTAAGGGCCCTTTTCCATTTGGTCTTTCATTACTCTCCAGTGCCTGGAGTCCATCCTGAAACTCAGCAGATGGGGGGTTAAGACCGATGCCCTGTCCTATCTCCTCCCCTCTCCATTCCTGACTTCAAAGTCTCCATAAAGCCCGCTGTTGCTTCCCTGACCCCGTAGTGGCAGCTTCATCATCGGCTCTTGGCCAGTTCAAAACAGACGCTGAGCCCTGGCCCCGGCTGCTCACAGTCCACGTCCAGGCCACCTCCTGCGGTAAGCATCAGCATGCTGAGGACCTATAGGGCCCAAGGTTGTTGCTCCTCAGGGAGAGGAGGGACAACTAGGTATAGAAGTTGCCTCAAGCAGGGAGTTTGTTTCATGATTAGACTTAGGAAGCAGCCCACAGGCAGAACCCCTGGTGTAAGGACCAGGACTCTGGGACTCCATCGAAGTTGTGATCAGAGCAGACATTTACAGAGGTTAGCAAGTAGAACAAGGTCACCGCCCAGGGACAGAGGCAGGGGGTTGGTATTTGCAATTGAACATGGCAAGAGATGGACCTGGAACAGGAGCAGCTCAGGGACGAGCACTTGTTCCGTTAGTATTGTCTGGAACGTATGCTCAAGTATTCACAAATCCAGGTCCAATTGTTTTAATCTCTGGCTCTGGTGGCTGGGTAACCATGGTGTAACTGTCTGGGATGGCTCTGGTTCCCTGGGGCCGGATCCTGCTCTGTGGATCCCTCAGGAGTAACTGTCACAAACTCAAGACCAGGGAAGGGGGGCAGGGGGTCCCAAGGCTCAAGGCCTTTTCGTCCCACCCTCATCTGTGGATTTTTCCAGCTGCTTTTCTTGGCCCAAGGATGATACCCACAGGGATACAGATGGGGGAAGGGGAAGCAGAGAAAACGGTGCAGTCAGAACGAGCTAGGGAAGAGAGAAATTAAGCTGGAGAAATGGCGCTAGTGGTCCAGCCCTCTGAAGCAGGACATCTTTTTAAGTAGTGGCTGTGTAGGGAATGGTGAGGAGGTCTCAGCAGGCAACTTTCTCCTTCCCACCCCAAACTGAGGAGCATTGGAGTCCTGATTGTGGGGTGCTTCCTTCTAGGACTGGGCTGAAGCCTAGGAACCCTGCTGCCAACATCTGGGGGCAGGATCATGTCCGCTAACAAAGGCTGGTGGGTGCCGCCCGAAGGTGAAGACAGCGTGTCTGAGAAGTTCCTGAGGAAGACCAGGGAGTCTCCACTGGTGCCTATAGGTGAGTGGGGAAAGGAAGGGATGGGGGGCCTTCTCTTAGAGAACATCTCTCCCAGTCCTTTCAAAGAATGAAGCAGAGAACTCCAGTGGTCCTACCCACTGAACCATCAACAGCTAGAAGAGTGAACCAGTAGCAGAGGGGCCAGAAGATAAAGGGACACAGCCTCACAATGAAACGAGGGAGTCTGGATGGGGGGAGGTGGCGGCCAACTGAGTGCACGGGCTATAGGGAAACACCAACGTCAGCAGGGGAAGGAGCGGTTTGGGGTCCCCTAGGGCTTCCTTCCTCTAGGCCCTGGGAAAGTGGGAAAACAGCTGTAACAGATGTGGGAGCCAAGGTGGTTGGAGAAGGGCCTAATGGGGGTAGGGGAGTCCTGATGATGGGCTATTTGTATGTGGGGGAAGGGAGTCATTGGAGGGGGGCAGCTACTTTGAAAATGCCATCCAGAGGAAAACTCAGCCGTCTAATAACCCTCCCACCCCCACCAGAGCGGCTGCTCATCCAGATGCCATCTTCCTAGTGTCTCTCATCAAGAGTGATGGGCTTGGTAGATGAGGTGCAGGGGTCATGTTCTCTGACTGCAGGCTTAGGAGGCTGCCTGGTGGTGGCGGCATACAGGATTTACCGGCTGAAGGCTCGTGGTTCCACCAAGATGTCCATACACCTGATTCATACCCGAGTGGCAGCGCAGGCCTGTGCTGTGGGTGCAATCATGCTAGGTGAGTGGTGTCACAGGAGAGCTGGGAGTTCTGACAGTTAAGGGACCATGATCTCAGGCCCTATTCCCAATACAAGGCTCCATATCAAATCCTTGGTGAAGCCCCCATACCGAGACGCTGTCAGGGTTCCGTTTCATCTCCTGTCCCAGGCCTGTGGGGACAATGTGGTCTGCTTCATGACAGTTTGTCCAGAGGTGAGAAAAACCATGCACCCAAACAGAGGCTGAATTTCTCTTCCTCTTTGGGTCAAAAGGCAGACAGCTACTTCCTGGCTGTATGACAGTGGACAAATCCTTCTCTGGTCCTTGGTTTCCCCATGTGTAACGTGATAACCACCTCTGGCCTGAATCACAGGTTGCCGTGAGGTTTCTTAGATAGAAATGCACTTGCAATGCTTTGCAAATTGTCAAAAGGGTTGTTTCCCAGGCTGTGTGGTCAGGTGCTTGTAGCAGCTGCTGAGCCCTAGGGCAGAAAGCTGGACTCTCAAGGGATGGGCTGGAGCCAGACCCCGGGGGCTCTGCAGTTGCTACTCCTCTCTGGGACACCTGGGAATCAGAGGCTGGGTGAAGCTTTCGCTGCTAAGGGGTATTTTCTTTCTCCCTCACACAGGTGCCGTGTACACAATGTACAGAGACTATATCAAGAGAGCAACACAGGATGCGGGGGAGAAGTAGGTTTCTACAGCCAAGGGCAGTCAGACCCTCTCACAGCAATCCCTGGTATGTTCCTAATAAAGGAATTTTGCAGAAAACTGACAGTCTCTTCTTCACCTGGGATAGAAGATGAGGGGATTGGCAGTGGCTGGTGGGGGAGCTTAGAGCAAAGGGTTGGAGATCAGAGTTGTGGCCCTGAACTTCAGGGCAACAGAAACTCTCAGCGGGGCAGAAAGAGAGGTGCAGTAGACCTCCGATCCCAGAAACCCAACAATTCCCAAGCCAGCCCAGACCCACCTGGAAAAGCATGGTAGACAGGACGCCAGGAATGGAGTGGGGGCATTAATAGCCTCCATGCTCATGGGAACACTGGGTTAAAAGGCTGCTTCCCTGCCTTGACCGGTTTGGCTCAATGGATAGAGCGTTGGGCCTGGACTGAAAGGTCCCGGGTTCGATTCCGGTGGAGGGCATGTACCTTGGTTTCAGGCTCGATCCCCAGGGGGGTATGCAGGAGGCAGCTGATCGATGTTTCTCTCTCATCGATGTTTCTAAATCTCTATCCCTCTCCCTTCCTCTCTGTAAAAAAAGTCAATAAAAATATATTAAAAAAAAATAAATAAAAGGCTGCTTCCCTGGAGACCCAGGCAGGAAGAAGGCTGCAGCTGGAAGCAGAGGCAATGAAGCCTCATGGGAGACGACATAGATTTAGAACCCAAGGGCCAGGACTGGACTGTGCTGGAAGAGGGGGTGGAGGGTTGAATGAAAGCAATAGAGAAAGGCAGAGGTTAGAATATTCTGTTCACTTATAAACCATGTCTAAGGTCAGACTTGTAAAAAAAAATTCCATGTAAATTCTGAGGACAGGGCCTCCTGGGGTTAAACACTTTCATCCCCTCCTCCTTCCCTGAGCCAGACTCCTTTCTGTTCCCTGGGAATAGAGCCAGGCACAGGCCACAGAAGGAACCAGGAGGCCGAATGGGCCTCCCTCACTGGGCTCTGGGTTGGAGGCTCTGGGTTGTTCAGGACGCCACAGCAGCTCCCAGACACTCTGACAACATGGAGTCCAAGTCACATGAGGTCCCAGCTTCCAGTCCAGGGTGCAGCCCACTGCAGGGAGCAGGAGCTGCTAGGAGCCCTGGCATTCACATGGGGTAATTGAGTACCACATCCTGCTTGGCGAGCTCCAGCAACATAGGATCATCGAAGAACTTGCTGATGCTCACGTCTTCACTCAGGCCCTGCAGAGGGTGGGGGCAAATGAAAGAATGAGTCCTGTGTGGTGTCTGAATGAGGTGGGGGCCATTGGAGACCTGTGGTTGAGTAGGAAGCTGGTGGTGGTGGGGGACGGACTGTGAGCCAGGCTGTTTCAGGAGCCCTGCCTTTAGGGCTTTGTCACTGGGGAGCAGGTCTGGCTGCCTGAGGCCTGTACAGATTGCATCTCTATGTTGTACAGTAAATCGCTTAGTGTTTGGGAGATAGGTCCAAGAGTAAGAAATGAAGAGAGATAAAACTCCTGCTGAAATCCCTGGGGGTTGTGGGGTGGTGATAGGTCTGAGGGCACACACACCTTTCTACGACGGGTTTTGATCATGAATTCCCGGGCCAGGTGAGGAGCTGGCTGTGGCTCCAAGGGGCGGATGACAATGCTCTTATCCAGAGGATCCCCAGGAACAATCTGAAAGGCAAAGGGGTTTCAGAGGGCCCAGGCAGCCCTCTATCTGGGTCTGGAAGCAGGACTCTGAGGAGGTTGGAAAATCTTAGTCAGGAGTTGGAAGGGAAACAGGTCATAAGGGATTGGCCTTGTCCAGGTGGGAGGCCAGTCGGCCAGCCTGCACCGTTTTCTCACCTGCCAATGGTGAAAGACAGACAAGGAAAAGGCCTGCCCCTGGGTGTGAGTCCGCAGATCAGTCTCAAAGCCAAAGGAGTCGATAGCCGGGATGAAAGCTTTGATGGTGTAGAGGGGGGAGCCTGGAATGGGCGCATCCTGAGTCACGTGCCCCCTGAGACAGAACAAAGGCTGAGTCAAAAGCAGAAAAGCCATCTGCCCTCAAATACACCCCAAACCGGAACGACCATAAAAGAATGACTGTGAACGCCCTGCAGGAGACAGAGGGGCTGGGGTCTCAGTCTAACCCTGTGGAGGCCCACGCGGAGCAACCTGGGGGCCAGAGTGGGAACGCTGCTGCACAGGGTTTTACAGAACTTTCCCCAGGAGCTCTCTGAGGAGGGCTGCCCAGTAAGGAATCTCAAATCTTAATCTGCAGGAAAGCTGGGGATTTCCTCATTCCTACTCCTACTTCCTTCTGAAAGAAATCAGCTCATTAGGTTTCAGGAGTGGAGCGCGTGGGAGGCTGGTCCCTCCATGGTAGCAGAGCGACTTCCTGCTCTGCCCGTCCGCTGTGTCTCCCTAACGTGCAGGGCTGCTCACCTGCGCCTGGCCAGGACAGTATAAACAGCGGAGACACAATCTGCCGGGGCCTGGACCTCTACGAAGTAGTAAGGCTCCATCAGGCGAGGAGTGGCCTGCAACAGAGCAACAAGAAGGGGTTCCTCAGCTTGGGGAAGGCTGAGGACTTAATGCCCTGGGGTAGCAGAGCCCTCACTTACCATGAGGAAGGCAGAATAGACGACTCTCCTGGCCGTGGGGATGATCTGGCCCCCGCCCCGGTGCAGGGGCTCCTGGGCAACCACTGCATCTAGGATCTTAAACTTGACATTTCGAATCACTGAAAAGGAAAAGGACAGCTGATTAAGGAGTGCTCCCGGCCAGAGCAGCGAGGAGCCTCCTGTAGCTCTACAGCTATCTGCGGCCACAAAAGAAAAGGTACAAAATTGCCCTGAAGATGGGTATTCTGATAGGATACACAGGCCTGTAGCAAAGAGGTCAGCAGTCAAGCACACATTTATAGTGTTTGTTTCAGACATCATAAAGTTTCCCTAGAAGTTTACGTGCTTCTTCTGCAGACATTTAATTATTTTTGGATAGAGAAGAAATTCTAGGAATTGCATATTTGTTCCCATTAAGTCCAAGCCTGGTCTATAAGCCACTCCAATCCCCTCCTCCCTTTGATACACCTCCTCAAACTTATTTCTTCTCAGGAATGAGGAACGAATGTTAACTAGCAATGACTTCATTTCTAGGAGGTACAAAGTGGTAGCAAAGGAGAGGGAGGGAGAGAGGCAGGAAACAGGCTCAGGACATGGGATGGCCCTGCTGCGTGTCCTGCCAGGTCCCAAGGATAAGCCCACCCCACTGCCTACACCCAGGAGCAAGGGCTCTAGAGGACTCAGGTGGGGGAGGCGGAGAAACTGGTAGACTTACACTCATCACAGAGGGGTCCCTCCCTGGTTCCCCACTGGAAACCTTGAACAATGCTGTCCTTCACTGAGCCAAGAAGAGCCTTGTCCACCTGCACAGAACATAAGGGTTCTTTAGTGGTGACCCTGGCAATAGCCAGAGTTTAGAGGGAAGAGAAGGCAGGTAGGTTGGTAAGAGGATCTTCTCCTGCACCAGAAGACACAAAATACTTCCAGGAGAAAAGAACACTTTGTAGTTTCTTCCACTTGAGCTAACAGACCATCACAAGGCTCCCATCAGTTCTCCTGTACCTCAGAGGGCAGGGTATCATCCACCAGGATGTTGGGGCCAGTGGCATCAGGGCCAAAAGCCCAGATGGAACGGGCAGCCAGCAGATCCCAATCGTACTTGGTTTGGAAGAACTCTCCCAGCTTCTTCCTGGGGAAGGAGGAGAAAACGGAGGGCTCAGCCAGCTCTTGTAAAATCCTGCCTCTCTGGAGAGTCACCTCACCCCACCCACACTGCGCCAGGACAACAGCAAAGTGGGAGAAACAAACGACTTCCCAGAAGAGTGTGGGGCATTAGAGGTCCAGCAGTAAGTTATGGTGCCCTGCCCTGTCTCCCTTTAGCCCTGGAATGAGAGCTGTGTTCTCGCCTGTTCCACGTGATCTGGACCACCTCATTCTCGATGTCTTCAGCAAGGCCCTTTTCAAGAGGCTCAGCAATCATGGTGATCTTGTTCCTAGTTAGAGAGGAAATGAGTAACGAGGTGGGTGAGCAGGACTAGCAGAAGGGTCACTTCTAAGAAAAGGGTGACAAAGGAACAGCTAAGGCAATGACACCAGTGAAAACCACAGGAGCAGAGTAGAGCCAAAAGAGCTTATCTTTTTTTTTCTCATTAGAATCTGTTACTCTCTCTCTCTCTCAAAATATATTTTTATTTATTTCAGAGAGGAAGGGAGAAGGAGAGACAGAAACATCAATGATGATAATCATTGATCGGCTGCCTCCTGCATGCCCCACACTGGGGATTGAGCCCACAACCCGGGCATGTGCTCTTGACCGGAATCGAACCCAGGACCCTTCAGTACGCAGGCCAACGCTCTATCCACTGAGCCAAACCAGCTAGGGTGAATCTACCACTCTTTATGAAAGTAGGTTTGGGGCAACATTTACATAGAAAGGAGAAGTGACAATTGCAAGTCATCCTGGCATAGAAAGTCTATGGCAAAGGACTTCATAGGATCATGTCCAAAGGCAAATGGATCAGAGGCCTGGGCTAAACTCAAGTATTCTAAGCACCCCCATCCCCAGACTGCGGGGTCTCTATGTCCACAGTGTTGTGATTGTGGTGGAGCTGGTGGGAGGGGAGAGTGTCAGTCCAAGGACACTATGACCCCCAGCTTACTTCTTATTGGGTGTTTCAGCAAAGCACTTGAGAGAGGATGTTTCTACCACAGTCTCACAAAAGGTAACAACAGGGTCAGCCACCTGTTGGGAAACAAGATAAATTACTGGGCAAGGTCTCATTTTGTTGGAAGGATGACCTCCTGCCAAAGGGAATTCGGAGGGCCCCTTGACATACCCCCGTGAGAACCCCGCCTCTTAATCAGCATCAGGGACAAATACAACAGCAGCTAAAAGTCGCCATCACTAAGAAGCCTGAGGAAACTTAGTGTAGTGCGGTATCTATGTTCTGGAGTCAAAAGTACATGGGATCAAATCAGATCTGAATTATAGTCCCCCAAGGTACCCTTCACCATCCATTTAGCCGTCCCTCCACCATTCACTGAATCACCCCTGCAGGTCTGTCAGAGCTGGTACTAGAGACCTCCTGGGGACACCCCTTCTGTTCTCAGCCTGGGACTTCTCCCTGAAGCTCCCACTGGCCCTGGCCTGTACCTGGGAAACCCAGCATCTTACAGAGCACCAGTCCCGGGCACATCAGTAGAAGAATCTAAGAGGGGTACTTGAGGGTACTCACTCCCACCACCCGAGGGCCTTGGAGAAAATGTGTCTCTCAACTGGGACACCGAGGCCATGAAAAGGCAGTTTAACTGAGGGGCTGTGTCAGGCTTGACGATGAATCCAGGAGAGCCAGGCCCCACTCTCACCTTGAAACCATACACTCTGAGCCTTAATCACCACAGACAAATTAATTGTCCAACTATTTTTTTAAAAACAAATGACCAAGAATAATTTTGGCTTGGGAGCACTGACTTTAAAAGCATGACACTGAGAATAACCCTGCAAAAGGGGGCAAACCAGATCTCAAATACCTTCCCATTTAGGGAGCAACAGATCACGCTTTTCTGAAACCGATCTCCTCTAGTAGGGCAC